ATCAAACTTACAGCCTTTTGATGTTATGGACAACACTCCAACTAACTGAGCCACCCGGCCAGGGCAGTGATGGGGATTTTTGAAAAGTATTATAAGTTTGATTCTACCCTTCCCCTGAAATATTTTTCTTTGGCTGACAGTGTCGCTCTCCCTTGTAAGACATACTCTGCTAATGGCAGCTTTGGTCCCTGGGCTTTGATTGTGAAAAATAATAATAGATACCAAAAATTACAGCCTTACAAGGTGAAAAGCTAATTCCCTTCCATTAGTAATAGAAGCAGGAGTTTATTAGAAAGAGGCAACTGCAAGAGCAGAAAGTAGGAAGAAGGGGGAGAGGGTTGAGGCTTGGTTTACGGGGAGCTTTTTGATTAGGACTTGAGAGATACAAGGGTGAAGACAAATTTAAGGCAAAAGATAATCAAAATGCAAGAAAAAGGGAGAGATTTAAGTGCTTCTTTGATTTTCCAATTTTGGCAGTTTCACCATGCTGGGACCATGGAAGTCTCTGGGCTCCACTAGTTACAGCTGGCGAAACGGTACATCCCTAAGGTGAAGGCCCATAACATTTAAGGTCTTTCACTATCTGGCACCCACTTCTCCAACCCTATCACCCCTCCCAGCAAGCTTCATCCAGAATTATTCTCAATTCTACATTTAAAAAAATGTTTTTATTGATTTTTTTTAGAGAGAGGAGGGAGGGAGAGATAGAAACATCAAACATGGATCGGATCGGCTGCCCCCTGCACACCCCCTTCTGGGGATTGAGCCTGCAACCTGGGCATGTGCCCTGACTGAGAATCAAATGGGTAGCTCAGTCCATGGACAATGCTCCATCCGCTGAGGCACACTGGCCGGGCTCTAGTCTGCATTTCTTCACACCTGTGCTTGCTGGGTTTGCTGCTTCGGCCTAGATGACCTCACCTGCTGTTCTGCTGCAAATTCCCAATACACCAAGATCCACAAGTATAACACTCTTCCTCGAATTGGGGTAGTCTCTTGCTTTCCTTAGTCAGGTCGCCTGCGAGGAAGGGAAAGGAAGAAAAAAAGGAAGAGATTGAGTAGTTGAACATCTTTTCCCAGGAAGTTTAAGGGGGAAAGCCAAGGTGAAAGGAGCTATCCACAGGGAGCTTCTCAGGGATGCATTTGAGTAGTCGGTTGGTCTAGGAGGGAATGGGAAGTCCACGGGGCAGTGGGCTTGAAGCCAGCCTGACTCCTTCATGTAAGCCTTACATGAAGGATCTTTTTTCCACACATAAATTCGTTGCTTCCTTTATTTATTTTTTGTTTGTTTGCTTTCCTTATTTTAAGCGACACAAATAATTTGTAATTTATTAGAATGGTTTATTTGCAAATGATAAAACTGGCCAGTTTCTGGAATAACAGATTATGTTCTGCTCTGGGTAATACTAAAATGCACTTGTATTGCCAATAAGAGAGGTATGTAAAAACAAGGAAGAGACCAGAACAGCTCTGGTTAAAAAACTTACCTCTAAACCACGTGCCATCTAATTTACATATAAACAAGTACAAGTAGGACGTGTTTCTCAATCTATCAACTCCCCTTTGTTGATTAACCTGCAGGGCAAGAATGCAGTAGTGTTCACTGTTTACAGTTTTCAATTTGTCCAAGGCACAGCGCTGTGCCCGAGAATGGAAACATCCTAGGCCCTCAGAAGCACCTGGCTTGTCGAGAGAGGAAACGAAAGGAAGGTGCTTCGCAAGGGCGTCTGGTGACAAAGGGGCAAAGGGGCTCCGTATCACGACGAGGAGGAACATGTGAGATAGTCATGTAGCCAACCTTATTTATTGAGAAGTCCTCATTTTATTGCCCATTTAGTAACATGTTTGTTCCACAAACTAATTTCTCATAAAGCAAAGCACAACTTTTTCTTATAAATAGTATAAATTATTTTATTTACAGAAACTTGTTACAAAACAAATAGACTATATAGTTCTTCTCTTTTAAATATCCAAAGTAATTTTCTACCCCTTGACATTTGTTCATGGTCTATACAGCAGCCAACACAAAGTCCAGCTGAGATGCTCTTGATTCTGTGCACAAATCATCAAACTAGTCACACATTTAACACAGGAGATTGCTTTTATAACCAAGCTCAAAATAACAGCAAAATGCTTTCAAGCCCCATAGTCACCTGACAGTATGTAGTGCTCATTTCAATGATCTGAAAATGTAAAATGTTTTGCACAAAATGTAAAAATGATTATTTTCTTCTAAACAATGAAACTTTTAACAATCATTTTCCAAAGCCCAACATTTCCCCCAGGACAGAATGAGAAATATTAAGAAATTCCTTGGCAACAGAACTCTTGCAGGAAGATAGCTGCCTTTATAAATTACATTTTTCAAATTATACATTTTTTCCAAATGTTCTCAGAGGTACTTTGTATTATATATTTGGAATACAAAAAATTTAAATATTCTATTTGAAACCCAAATATCATGAGTGAATAACAAAACGGACGCATCATGTAAGTTGCTGGCTGACAAAAAGGTCTGTGCCCTTGGTGCCACTGGGCACTCCATCACCAGTTCAATTCCTGTGAACCAAAAAGTCTGGATTTTAAAATACCTTATAAAATTACCAGCATTGATGGTTTTCAACTCCTCCCCTAAATTTTTAGAAACAGTATTTAGGTGGAAAAAGCAAACTCCAAAAGTTCAACTGAACATTCAAGTCTTTTTAAAGAGAATCTGTCTAAGCTTAAAACTAGGTTCAGGCACTTTCAGTTTTTTCCATTAGTTTAAACCACATCACATACCCACACACGTGTGCTCAGAGGGTACACATACAAACACAGAGGCACAGGCACACTCTCTCTCACATAGGACAAAAGAAAAGCAGTGTGTCACTTAGTTCCATGTCATCTATTGGGAAACCAGGTAACCAGGGAGAAGCAATGCCCACTTCATCGGTATGAATCCACTCCCGAGACGATAAAGGGACAGAAGGACGTTCACAGGACACAGGCATCCCTTATACTGTAAAGGAGGCAGGTTCTAGAACTATTGGCTTGGCAGTGAACCACTTCAAATTATAAAAAGGTATTTACTTTTATTAATTAATAAATAAATACTAGATGATCTCAATTGTACCAAAACAGGATATCAGAAAAAAAGACCTGTGCAAAAATACATATTTAAATATGTACAATTCATTTTTAACAAAATATGTCTTCTGAGATAGGGATACTTCCATATTTATAATAGAACAAGAAATTCCAAAATAAAGGTACAAAAGTAGGTTTTGTATAATTCTTTGTTCAGCATTGCAGCACTTTTTTTTTAGGTTAGGAAAACTGCAGGAGTTGTCATGAAATTCTATTGGAAAGAATATAAAAATTATCTTGGTTTTAAATTGATACCAAAGTCTGTCTAGAAACAACCCAACCACTGCAAATTTGGTTTTTGCAAGTTAATTTAATTCAAAAAAATACTTGTACTCCCATGCTTTAAATGGTCTTAATTGTTCATCATAATAAAAAGTTGTAGGAGAAAATAAAATATTTGAACAGTCTAAAATTTAATAGCACTGTTTAGAATATGTCTGTTTGTGGCAGGCAGAATCCAAAATGGCTAATTTCCTAATCCCGATGCTCTCTGTACTCGGGAAACATAATAAAATCAAATTAAAACCTCAGTCTAAGAAATCAAATAATCAACACCGCTAACCTAGATATATCTACATTAACCAACTTGATACTGTGGGTCCTATTCACATCTTTCGGAACAACATGATCTGTCTATAAATTCCATCAGTAAAAACAACTTTATTTATAACCATCAAGTCCCCTTGGCTCGAAAATAAATTCTACCCATACCCCATTGCACTTGTCACCAAGGAATCCACTGAGTACGTTCTGATCCCTCTCACCTTCCTTCCCTCCGCTGGGGTGGAACAGCGGCTGATTTGTCCCAGCTACATCAAACTGGCCTGTCCAGACTCTCTCCTTACTAAGCTCTCCTATAGTATCATTTAAAAACATTTGATTGATTGCATAAGTGAAAAAGATATTCCCCATCCTTAAAAAAAAAAAATCAACATTTTACACCAATTTATAGCTAAAGTATCTGCATAAAGTTTTTGTTTTCTTACATAATAAGATTAATTCTGTAGCAATTCACATTATTAGGCTGGTAACCAAGTATTTATTCATTCTACCTGTTGTTGACTTGAAATTCCCTGAAACTGAAGTAACCCAACAATTGTAGGGAAGAAAGGCTGCACTGATGGGTCCTGCCCGGGGGTGACCAGAACCCTGGGAAATTTACCCTGTGTTCAGCTAGTTTGTGTGTTCTAAGCACAGGTGCCTGGTTCTCATTTCAGGAACTGCGGTGGTGGAATCACCTGTTAAAAAGCTCCAACTTATCCCCCAAATTCTTTCTTAAGCAATGATGTTTTAACATATTAAGCTGCTTCTTTTGGGGTGGGGCACTAAAAAAAAATATCCTGGAGCATCTCTGAAACTCTCTCAGGAAGGTGGCTGGTATCAATCCCAAGAAAAGAGGAGGTGTTGGGGAAATACTGGACCTGTATCCATCATCCCTGCATGGATATGTGACAGATTCGCCACCCTCCCTTGCTGGGCACCTGCTCCCTACCCCAGTGGCAACCAAACACCTGTAACAGCAGGAGGGGAGTGCACACACGACGTGGGAGGGTGCTCAAAGCAGAGATCACCCCAGTCCAGCACCGTGTCCGCAGAGGAGACTGAGGGTAGTGGAGAGAGTGCCTAAGAAACAGGTCAGTATATTAATGACTCTGTGAAGGACAGTTTCTGCTGTATCCTGACAATTTCATTTTATAAAGGCAGTTTTTTGAAAACAGGAGACTGGGCAGGACAATCAACCCAATCTGCCATACCATTTAACATGAAGACTTAAAGGACAGAAAAATTCCACCTCTTTGGAAATCTTGGAAAAAAATTTCCCCATATAGTGATTTTATCCACACCACCACCCAATTTGGCTTTCCATGATCAAAACTAGTTTGCATTTTCTTTCCCTTTTTTTTTTTTTTTTTAATCACATAGAATTACTTTTGTACCATGAAAAGTAAGCCTCTAAAATGGTGTGGACTCGCTCTCCAGGCATCAATAGCTTTAAACCAGTCTGTAAGTTAGAAACTTTTGATAGTTTCTTACCCCAAATTACTTGCAAAATGCTAGGCAAAATACAGGCTACTCTGTCACGATGCATGAGTAACAACCATACTCCGGGCCCAGAACACTGCTATTACAGCCAGCGACAACCCTCCTTCTCTAGAGCTTGCTCAGGGTGGCGCTCTGTCTCCCCTCTGGAAGGTGTCTCCAGTTAAGGTGCCTAACTGCTAGTGACCTGCAGAGGACAGTGTAAAACAGAAGTGGGGTGGGAGAGGAGGGAGAAAAGTCTACAGTAATGTTCTTGCAGAACATTCTTTCACCCAGCCAATCTGCTGGAAGAGTGGCTTTGTGATATACTGCAAGTTAAAAGAACAAACAGACGTCTCTCACAGTCTGGTAGCAAGCAGCCCAGACCACTCTAACACTGACAAGCAGTTCGGTGGCTGAGCTCGACCCAGTGTCCTTCACGAGTACTCACTGCTACAGGCACAGCTCCAGGGGGACCTCGCTCCAACAGCCGCAGCTCTGCCCTGGAGCCCACAGGAGGCTGGGAGACGCTCAAAGGCATCTTGGAGTCCAGAGTGCTGAGTGGAGGTGTAACTTGTCATCAAAAGTGTCCAGATTATTCCTCCCCGTGCTATTTTCAGTTGTCAGGGACGGGTCTTTGGCTTTCAAAAAAGAGGGGGTGAGGAAACAACAAACAGGTGGATGAGTGGTGGTATACTCGCCACCCTAATACTAAACAGGAACATCCAAGGCCACAGGTCTCTAGTCTTTACTGACTGGCGATGCCAGGGGCAATCAGCTAAAGTATATGGTCCCAACTTTCAAAAGCTATCATGATCTTGGACATAATCATTCTAAAACCCTGAGTTTTAGCCCTGGCCGGCTGGCTCAGCAGTTAGAGCATTGGCCCTCAGATGGAAGGGTTGTGGGTTTGATTCCCAGTCAAGGGCACATACCTGGGTTGCAGATTGGATCCCCGGCCCTGGCTGGGGTTGTGTGGGAGGCAACCAATCCATGTGTCCCTCTCACATGGATGTTTCTCTCTCCCTCCCTCCCTTCCACTCTATCTAAAAATCAATGGAAAAGTATCCTTGATAAGGCTTAACAACACACACACACACACACACACACACACACACACACACACACAAACACCGAGTTTCAGAAAACTGTTTAGAAGAGATGCAGACTGGGCTTCTAACTTAGAAAAAAAGTTCACATATTTGCCTTTGGTTTTATTTATGGATTCTTTTTCCTTGAAGGTATTCCAACTAAGAACTGAACAAGGTCAAATGGGCTACCCACACAGGTGTGAGAACTCACACCCGAAGCAGTGCCCTTGCTGGGGTAGAGGGAGCTCTGGCCACAAACAGACTGGTGGGGAGGGGCGGCTACCCTGCCCCTTCTCCTAGGCTTCCTAGCACGTCCCACTGCATCTGTTCCCTTATGTAGGGGGCTTTATCTGCTTTCAAGCTGACTCCATGAGGAACAGTGAGGTGAGGTTCCTACTTTGCTAAGAGCAGTGTTCTTTAAAGCATTTTGGAGTCATGGGTCCCTTTGAGATTTGAAAGAAAGGTATAGGGTCCCTCTTGCAGTAAATGAGCATAGACATAAAAATATACAACCATTTTTGAGGTTCACAGATCCTCTGATTTCTAGCCATGGCTTCCCCATCCCCGGGATCTGTGCAGCATAATAAAAAGTATGCCAACGCACAGAGGAATCATTCTCAAATACAGGCTCGTGGAAACTAATGTAGAGAACAGCACGGACACTCGGGCTGCCTGTTTTGGTGGATACAAGCCTCAACCATGGAAATCAGGGGCGGCAAGCTGTCAGCTCACACCCAAACTCAGCCTGTGTGGGCAGTATCAGATTAAAAACAAAACACCACAAAAAACTACATAGCTTTAAAAAATGGCCAAATTTCTCATGCAAATCTGGACCTGCAGGACCTCTCTGAAACAGTAACACATCAGTGAGAGCGTAGGTGGGGCTGCCAGGCCCGCTCTCCGCAGGCACGGAGCTCTCCGCAGCGCCTGCCTGGCCTCTTCCACCCTGTTCCGGGCAGCACGGGCTGCAGCCCTGTCTGCGTGAAGGCACACTACCCAGGAATGCCAAGTGGGCGTCTCCACGCAACGGAACAGCCCTCCTGCAGGTTCACGGAGAGTCAGGAAACCACACTCAGAAGGGAGTTCTGAGGGATGGTACGCCATTCTTGTGGTGTTTGCACCACAGTTTTATACTTGTCACAAGCTACATGTAAGCAGTAACTACAAACCAAGACGAAAAGGACTGTCACCTGTCCAGGACCCCTGCTGAAAGAACTAAACAATACACAAATAGCCCATGTGTACTTGAGGCTCAAATAGAATTCAAGCAGCTGCTCTAAAATTAAGGGTATAATCCCCTAGACTTTTGGCACTGGGTATTAATTCACACAGATGTTAAAAAAATTATATCACAATAAGAAACTCCTTGGTATTTTCTGAAAAAGTCCTAACCTGGCATTTGAGTTAGGTTCTAAAGATGAGGAAGGAAACAAACAAACAAACAAACAAACAAAAAGAGCCTCACATTTTAAGTCAGGGCTCTGGGGTGATGCTGCTGAAATTCCTGTTCGTAAGCAAGGTGAGGAGAGATCCTGATGAATGAAATAACAAGATGAGAGATGAGCTGGAGGGCAGAGCAAAGGGAGCTGGAGGGATGGCCGAAGGAGAGGCAGGAGAACAGTGCGGTGGAGGAGCGAGGAGAGGGAGAGGCAGAGGCGGGGGAGAGGGAAGGCCCAGTCAGCTAAGGGTCCACGCCCGCGCTGCCACTGCACATGCACCAGCCAGACTGCTTTTGAATCAACTGACTTAAGAGAGTTTAGTCTTCTGCTATGCCCATACTTCTCTTCCTGCCTCCCTGGAAAACAGGAAGGGGAAAACAGACAGAGAGAGTTAACCAGAAAATAAAAAATTCTCTGATGGAAAAAATATTAAAAGCTCTTTCTCTTTAAAATTTAGATCATCCCTTTCTCAGTCAGTTTGAGTTTAGCCCAGCTTTCTCCTGAGGAACATACTAAAGAACTGCTCTCCAGAAAAGAGCCCGTCTCCTGCCCGAACAGCATCACAGACACACGCTGTCTCCGAGGACGATGCTCGTTGGCTACGGGGAGGGACTCTGCCGTCACACAGGATGGTTTCTACCGTCCTATCTGCTGAAATGCGCTGCTGTGGCTTCCCAATCCAGGGACATCTTCCAGGTCATCAGAAATTTTGGCAGAGAGAGGCATATGGCCACGAGCACCTAAGGACACTTAAGAAAAGTGTCCTTTTCTTAAAAGACACCAGAAAGCTGGCCATCGGTTTATAAGCAATCCACCCACCCCACCCCCACAGGCGTCCACGCGAGGGAGAGATGTCAAGGGAGAGAAGCTGGCACCCCGCAGGGCTCACGGTCCGTTTCCTACCTGATGGAGGAAGGAGCTGTTCGTCAGACCTTGTGTCCCTGGGCTGGTGCCTGGGTGTTTCATGTGGACGTTGTTCATGGCTGGCAATTTGGCAACCTTTGTGGGTTTGCTGCTGCTGCTGCTGCTGCCGCCGCCACTCGAGCCAGGCGAGCACTTTCTCTTCTTTCCTATGAGTTTGTCGAGAGGAGTGTGTGAGTAACTGCCGTGGGAATTGACGGGCAGCTCGCTGGCCTGGTGGATGAACGGGCCGAGGGAGAGTGTGGAGTCGCCGCTGTTCACCATCACACTCATCCTCTTGATGGACTCGGCAGGGCTCCCTCCAAGGGCGCCCCTCCCTGACTGCTCATGCCGGACACTCGAGTTCGCTTTGTTTGTCACGCAGTTTAGGCTGATGCCATGGGAAGATGTCACGGTGGAGGGGTAAGGAGGTCCAGAGTGGGCCACACAGTTCTTCCTAAAAGACTCCACGGAATGGGAAGAAGAGGCGGTGGCGGCCGAGGAGGAAGAGTGAGCTAAGAGTGGGGAACCAGCTTTGCGTTTCTTTCCTGAGGTGCCACTGGCACTGCTGCTGCTGGAGTTGTGACAGTTAGTGCTGCCACCAGAGGGCTCCTTGGGCCTTAGAGACTTGCTGGATTTCAACTTCTGAGGTTTCCTGGACATAGGGGAGGAGGGCACTGAGGACAGGCCGGAGGGTGTGGAGGGGGACGAGGAGGAGGAGGACACTTGTCTGGATTGCATACTGCACACGGGGTCTATTGCCCCGGATGTGGCAGGCTGTGCATTTAGTGTGGTTCCATGAGCTGGTACCGATTTGCTGTTTGGGGAGATGCAGGTGGATGAGAGCAGGACTGGGGATGTAGACATGGTGGCTGCTGCCAGATAGCTGACCCCACACTGTGACGTGGGCACAGAGTTTGTCCGGTGAGGAACACGTGTGGAGACGGGCGATGTGGTGCTGGGCACGGGCGGGATTTTCCTGCAGAAAGAGAGGGCAGAGTCCTGCTTAGCACAGCCTCATGGACACTTTCAGATGGACAATCCTTGCACACTGTTGTCAGAGGGTCACTGACACAGAGACCCAATTCTGTCACGCCTCTCCTTCAAGCACTTTATGCCTTCCCTGGGGCTCTCAGGTCCCATCTGCCTTCCAGCTGCCACTGCCCAGCTTTACACTGTGTGCCCCCCACCCCCAGTGCCAATTCCAACTGCCAATCATTCTGAGAACAGGCCATGACATAAGACCCCCATATCTCCTGCCCAGAACACTGCTATTCCAACTTTTGCTCACCCTTCAGTTTTAGTCCATCACTACTTTCTTACGAAATCTGTCCTACCATCCAGGGACTCACACTGCCCTGTCCCTGGTCTGGGGACTCAGGGAGGTTCTACTGTGGGACTGTTGATCACCGTCTGACTCCTCTGCAGACGGATGGAGCCACAGCCTCCTCTCCACTCAGCAGAGCCCAGCACAGGCTGGGAACGCGGAGGGCACTTGGACACTGAGAGAGTTCACGAGTGAGGAAGAAGGAAGGGCACAGCTAATTAATAACAATGGCTGGTCCAACTGTTGGCCTGAATGACTGTACAAGCTTCAGACCTATCTCAGGGGCCATCCAGTGGTAAGTGTTGAAACAGTGTATTCTGTTAGTGATGTCTGGGCAAGGTATTTATTTGGGGACAGGGACCCATTTCAACAGTCAAATCAGGGAGCACTGCTTTTAGATAAGCTGATTTTAAAATGTGACAGCACAAACATTTCAAACCCCCTACACTGCAAGCGGCCTGACTGGATGGTGCGTACCAGGACCACTCCGCCCGACAACACAGGCAGCCCTGACTGATCCGCTCACCTTGAGTGACCAGGCTGGCCTAGACTGCGGCCAAGGTGCTTTCCATGTGCTTTTAATGAACTACAGTTACTAATGAAGGGAATTAATTACTGCAAATGTTCGCAGCAGCTTTAAAACCCATTCAAGAGTGTGGCTCCAGCCCTGACCAGGTGGCCCAGTTGGTGAGAGCGTCATCCTGATGCATCAGGGTTGTGGATTTGGTCTCCAGTCAGGGCACATACAGGAGTCAACCAAAAAATGCACAAATAGGTGGAACAGCTAAACCAATGTCTCCCTCTCTCTCCCTTTAAGAAAATCAATGAAAAAAAAAAAAATAGAGTGTGGCTCTGGCCCTAACTCAGTGCTTCTCAATCTTGGCTGCACCAGACACCAGAGTCCTTGGGGGGTAGGGCCCAGACATTAGCAATTTCTAAATCTCTCCAAGAGATTCCAATGTGAACCCAGAACTGAGGAGATGGCTTCCATCTATCCCTGTACTCCCATGGACGACAGACCCCGATGTTACCTGAGAGCTCAGTACAAAGGCTGACTCCCGCGGCCCCACTCCAGACCTACCTCATCAGGATCTGCGTCTCAACAAGATCCCAGATGAGCCGTGCGTCCTGGCACTTTGGAGAAGCCCTGCTCTTAATGAAGTACAGGTGCTCCTGTTCACTGGGTGCAATGGCTTCTCATGGCCACCAGGTGGCTAAGAAAGTTGGAGCCTAAACACCAGGCTGCAGGACCAAGAACTGGGAAATGACAAAAAGCATCCACAGGAGTGGTGGTGGTGGGTGTGTATCTAGTCTCTGGACTACATTACTGGTTTCTCTTTAAAAAGTTCTTTTAAGTCATTCATTACCTTTCGTGTAAAGAACAAACATAGAAAGGCAAGTCGCCACATAGACTTGTGTTTGCATAAATGAACTCTGTAAAGATATAGAAGCAACTAATAAAAACATCTGTAGGGGGGTTGGTGGAAAAGGTGGGGGGAGGGGAGAACGGACTCAAAGTTATGACCTTGCTTTTTCAGAAGGTCTCAGCACAAAGAGAAAAACCTCTCCACATAAGCCACTAGGAACTTAAACCTTCACCCAAACTGCTGGCCATCAACCACTTATCAATATTCTGAGGATAAAACATTCTAAGGAGCCTTGAAACTCTGGGAAATAAAACAACCCTCCGTTTAGTGAGCCGGATGAGCTCTCCAAGTCCCACCAGGTAGTGTGAAGAAAATAAGCTGAGAATCCATGTATCTTGGGGTTTTCTGATATGGAGACACCCCCACAATCCCTACAAACCACTGCCTTGAGTTTACCTCTGGGCAGAAACAATGTTTCTTCATAAAGAAGGAAGAGGAGTCTCTTATTTTGTAAGAACCAGGAAGAAACATGGAAGAGAAAGGCAGAGTAACATTGCAAGTCCTGTTAACGACCACAGAGAAGGTTCTTTACAGTGTGGGCTATCCGAGGCTCTGACTAGCTTCCTTTGACTTTATCAGAAAACCAAGGGAGGCAAATGGGTGTCCTGACAGAGTCCATTCAGGGAGGCACTAGTAAATGATGCCAAAATGGGGGATTTGGGATGGCCTATGGATTACTGGTCAGCTCCCTTTAGCAAAGCTCAATGTTTCCCAAAGTAGGCACCACCAAACACTGGTTCCCAAGATGCTCCCCTAAAAGAGGTTCCCCGATCAAGGACCCTGGGGACACTCCACATGACACATGACATCTCTGCTTTGAGATTACAAGGGACAGTGCCCGTTACAGTGTCTGAGAAGTCCTTCAGGGATGGCTGTGAAACCCTTCTCCCACCTACAATCTCATTTGGGAAACACTAGCATATAAAATGCCTCACAAGATCAAAGCACACAGCTCCTTTACCTAAAACCCTCAGCAGCACCATTGCACTCAGAACCAGGTCAGTGTCCCAGGGCCCTGCTGGCCTCTCAGACCTGGTCTCACACCATGCTCACATTCTTTTCTTTCTCAGACAAACCAGTCTATTCTGACTCAAGACCTTCACACATGTGGTTCTTTCTGCCTGGAGCCCTCCCCTCCCCCACCAGCCCATGGCTGCTCTTTCTCATCCGTTCACCGCAGTTCAAGATCAAGAGACCCCTCTTCAGAGGGCTTTTCCTGGATACCTCTGGTCCGCTATGTCTTCCAGGTCAGTTCTCTGTTTGGAACCAAACTGCCTCTGGGTCCAAATCCTGGCCCTTGCACTAACTTTGCTGTGTGACCTTGTTTATCAGTCTCATTATCTGTGAAATGGATATAATCAAGATCACCCGACAAAGCAAACTGTGAAAATTAAATATATTTAATAAGCTGCCTGACATACAGTAAGCTCTCAGTGTTAGTGATGACCAGTGTTTCCATTATCTCCCTACGACAAGCTATCATCTGTCTCCAGTTTCTGTTTATTGGTTTTTGTTTCTCTACCAATTTGAATGTAAGCACCATACTTGCACCTGGAACCCAGCACCCAAAACAAGACTTATTTGCTCAGAGTGAATGAATGAATGATGAGGGGCCTTTTGTTGGAGCTAGTGAAAGGCCATAGTTTCATTCAGGTAATCATATCTTCGTTAAATCAGTCCCATAAGAAATAGAGAGGATGCGGCCAAGCAGTCGGTCCCCTCTCCCATCCCAGAGGTGGAGACAGCACTCACTTCCACAGCTGCGCGTTCAGATGCTTCTCCACCATGAGGTTGAGGGCGCAGCGAAGCCGGTTCCACCTGGAGTCAAACACATAATAGCCTCTTCCAATCTGCCGGCTCCCGAATGTGCAAAACTGAAAGAGAGAGCACAGGCGCCATGCTTGCTGACTGGGACAGTGGCACACCTGGTGAGGGCCTCTCTCCTTCAGGCATGGCGCTACCGTCAAAGGCAGCTTAGGCTCTGAGTACCGCAGGCTGTGAAGCATGAGCATGACAATGTCTGGCCCTGAGTTTCATGGAGAGAAAGGGAAAGCATGACACATCCCAGGACACAGTGCATGCCACCACCAGGGCACCCTGTTCTGAGCTGCTCTCACACCTGTACCGCGTCCCACGAGTATGGGCATGCCAAGGTTCCTGGTGCGCCCCCCTGCAGTGTCTTGTCCCTGCTGCATGGGGAGGATCAATGTGGGGTGGATGTGGAACTTACAGATGCTGGCTGAGGATGATGACCTGAATAATGACAGTCCAGTTTTTCAACAGACTCTTCTTTGTCATCGCCTTCTCCCTCCTCACTGGATAACCGAGAAGCTGGCTCAGTGGCAGGCAGGGGAGGGTGTGGAGACTCATGGACCGGAGGAGGGTCAATGGGGGCACTCCCCCCTTGCTGAGCAGGGCAGCCTGGAGGCCTTGGTGAGCAGAAAGTGCAGCACTGATCAGATCACATGTCTGGGAATCGGCAGCCTTAACTCAGATACAACGTATCCAAAACCACCTGGGGGGGCTGGGGCCACCACTAGCACTGCGTAAACCTGAGCTAGGTGTCCTGAAGGGAAGAAAGATCCTCTCCCCTGAACTGTAGTATGTCAAACGTGGCTGTCCTCCAGGTCTAGCCCAGCTAACTTATAACTAGCTTTCCTTTCTACAGCGACTTGGGGTCTCAGGCCCTTCTTCTAGTCTCCCCAAAGGAGGAAAAGTATATATGGAATTTAAGAGAAGCCTTTCTTTGATTCCTATTCAAATTTCACCTGGATTTGGGTTACTAAGACAATGAATGAGATAATTGACAAAATGCTCTACAATAACATAAGAGGGACAGGAGGTGATGAAATAACTAGGTAGCATCACAACTTTATGTGAAAAGTGATCCGAGAGCCTGTTGCACAAGGACAGCAATGTATTTTTCTTCCATATACAAAGGCCTGGTGGTTGGGGAATTAAGCTTCCTTTTCAGAGGAGGAAACCTCAGTGAGAAGAGAGCCACAGGAAGGACTTGCTACCGAGGGGTGGCAGGCCGGGCCACCTCAGGGCCTCCAGACTGCTCTCCCACCTGCTGCTCCCAGACCAGAGGGCGCATGTTGGGATGGGCTCGGGCACACACTTGGCTTCCATGAAGGAGGCACCTCCACCCTCATGTAACAATTTCAAGGATCAGACACGTGAGTGTGAAACGGGAGGTGACGACAAGGGTTGGCATGTTCCTAAGCAGGAGCCCTTGCTGCCATGACCAACACCGGAGGCCTCCTTCTCTATGCCTTTTTCTTTTCCTTCCCTCTGGAAATGGTGTAAAAAGTTCTTTACTTCAACCTGGTTAAGTACACAAGACATGCATGTGTGAAGTCCACCAGCACTGTCTCTGAGGCCTGTGTGTGATAAGTTCTCGGTAAAACACTCTGACCCAGGGCTCAGCACAAGGCTAACAGGCCTAATACATGGTTAGGACAAAGTCCCACATGAATGAATGAAAAAAAATATGCTGACAAATGGATGCTGAAAAAAACAGAGGCTGAATGTCTGTCCCCAGCAAGGGATTCCCACTGCTGTGCTTCACGAGAAGCGAGACAAATGGACGGGAAATTGCTGCCAAAGCTGTGGGATATGTTCCAGTCACTAACCTGCATGCAGGCCCCGTGTCGCCTGCTCAGCGGGCTGAAGACACATGACAGTGAGCAGGCGTGGAACAGATAATACTAGCCTTACTCTGCTGCTCGCATTGGGCCAACAAGAGCCCAATGGTACAATCCACACTTTTTTTTCCCTTAGAGTAAACCCCAATTTAAAACCATCTCATCTTCTCACAGTGAGCCTGGTGGACATCCCTCGACATCATGACTACACTGGGGTTTTACAGGGTTTCTAAGTCTGTTCCCAGAAGCAGAGAGAAAGAGTTGGAAAACTTGGCTTACCTTGGAAGACTGGGGGTGTGAGGTTTAGGTTTACTAGCTACAAAAGGCTTTGATTCGGAAGGAATCACTCCATGAGAGTTTTGGTGTGGCTCCTGCGAAGTTCTAGGAGGGGCGGGATGCGGGTCCCTGAGAGGCTGTGTTGGTTGCTGAGAGTCCAGATGGCGAATTGATTCCTTTTCCCTGGTTTTATTTTTGTGCTCGGCTAATAACACATCAAATCGTTTTCTTCTACCCTGGACAGCCCTCCGTTGGGTTAAGGAATGTGTCTGCAAACCAAAAGAAAACAGAAACCAAGGTTTCTCAGTAAGAACTTTTTTCTGTCATATATCCAAAAACATCATTCCCAATGAAAAGCAACCCAGCCCTGGCTGGTTTGGCGTCGGCCCACGGACCAGAGAGTCCCAGGTTTGATTCCTGCTAAGGGCGCATGCCTCAGTTGCAGTTTGTCCCGGCCCCGGGTGGGGTTGTGTGGGTGGCAACCAGTTGATGTGTCTCTCTCACATCGATGTTTCTCTCTCTTTCTTCCTCCCTCTCTCCCTCCTGCTCTATCTGAGGATAAATGCAAAAAAAGTGTCCTTGGGTGAGGATAAAAAAAAAAAAAGAAAGAAAAGCAACCTGGATCATTAGCACAGTCAAAGGCTGCTCAGCGTTTGATAAGCTAAAAATCTTAAGTATGATCTTTTTCTTTAGCTAGAAGAGAAGCACGCATTCCAGGCTCCACATGTACGAGACTCTGGTGATGTTATTTCTACCACAAGAAAGAAGGACTATTCACTGTGTCACCCAGTAACAAACAGTAGAAAATCAGCAGGCACAACAGTAACAATTCTCTTACTGGGGCTCTTACCAACTCCATTAGAAAAATCCCTCTATGGGCCAGTTAGTTTTAAATGTTAAAAGGAAAGAAACAATTATTCCATAAACTATGTATCAACAAGTCTTCTTTTGGTAACTGTCAAAGAGTAAAAACCAAACACAACTGTTTTTCTATTGCATTGAAAACACATGTAAAAACAGAAAGTGGCTCAGAGCAACCTGGAGGCAGGGACTGCTAAGGCCAAGTAAGAGAAGAGATATAAAACAGAGTGAATCCCAAATATAAGTGAAGTCATCCACATTATTTCCTTCTCTCTTTAGTTACAAAATACTGCAAAGGATACTTAGTGTGCGTTCACGTCTCTACACATTATACAAATGTGTTGTTCTACTGGTTTACATGTTTGCTATAATTCAAGGGGTTTAAGAGGAATTAGGCTTTTACTGTCCTTTTGAAATTCAGTAACATAACCTACCTCCTCCTTAGATTCACTGCAAAGTATGTACGCCCAAAATCTAACCTGGCACAGATAGATAAATGTGCTTAGCTGCTTCTTAAATTTTGACTTAATCTTCTTTAGTATGTAACATATAAACAAGAAAGTAACCTAAATGAACACAGAAACTGTTCCATTTAGTGCTGTACCAGCACCTAGGACGGCACCTGACAATAAGTGCTTCAAACAAGAAGTGTATAAAAACAATGGCCCTCCAACGTGTGTCGAATGAACAATGAATATATGTTACTGATACTGTCTCTCCAGCCAGATGTAGAACCCTTTCCTCATCTTTGAATGTCTCCTGGTGCCTAGCACAAAAAAGCCAGGAGAAGAAAATAAGCTGAGATAATCCATATTTTCCCAGTTTGGTTTGAAGAGTAAATAGGATTTCCACTGAGTGCTGAAGAACCTTCCAAATACAAATCTGATGCCCCCAACTCCCATCAAAACCCTTTGGGCGCTGCTTAAGGTTCGAAGGATAAAGACTGACTGTGTGACTAGGCTTCTGGGTCATACGTACCCTAGTACTCCCCTCCCCCTGGCTCACTTTGGTATCAAGTGCCTCCTCCTCTGTTCAGCCTCTTGGCTATCTTTCAGACCCTAAGGTGTTTGTTCTGCCCATCACACATGTTGTGCCTCTGTCTCTCCCACCGCTCTTTGCCCAGATAGATCATTTGGGTGTTAGCTCCATGTTCCTATGGCAAAGAAGGCTTCCTTGGCCCAGTCTCTCCACTGAAGGCTGTTATAACACAGCCCTCCTCCCATTTTTTACTCATCACTGGTAATTTGGCATTTACTTGAGTCATTATCAGATTAATCTCCATTTCTCTTATTAGACTGCAAGCCCTAAGAGGGAACATGCCTTGGTTTTGCTAAACCCTAGTATCCTGTGGGTAGCAGACTCAAAATCTATTTGCATGGAAGGCAAAGAGGACATTATACAGATGTGAAAGCAAGGAGGGGACAGTGCAGGTGGCAGGCAGACAACAAGTGACAGGAGTTGAGCAGCAGATCTCCTGACAGCAAACAACGAACAACGTTCTAAGTCTAAGACAGGAGAGACCTGAGCAGTAAGGGGAACACTCGGCGAGGCACTCACGCGTGTTAAGCCCACCATAGCGGAATAGATTTAGGCCACAGGGGCAGGACAAGGGTGGAGCACTACAGAGCACAGGAAGAAAGAAAGGGCATCTGTGGAAGGGCAGGCCTGCCAAGATGCTGTGTTTTCTGCTGAATTCATGACTCGCGAGGGCTGAAGATACCTATTAATGTGATGACAGGGTCAGTACCATGCCACAGTCAGTAATGACACCCTTAACAGAACACAGGGAGAGCACACACGACTTGAAAAGGAATGTGGGAGAAATATGCAGGATCCACATTAAGTTAGTTCACCCGTCAACAAGATTCAGGAAGAAGGCAGATTCTGAGTTGATAAAGCTATTGGTTCACAGTATGCCTCAGAGATGAATAGCAAAGAGCACGCTGGATAAAGAAAGCACCCTTCACTGACTGTAGGTGTCGTAACACTGAGAAATCTGTGTTACTGAGAGGCAGGCAGGAAGCAGAGAGGAGGCACAGTGCCGATGCTGTGGATGGGGCAGAGGCATGCTCTCACAGGTCCCTTCGGGGCAGCTGGAACCCACAGAGCCACAGAGCTCAAGTGGCTATCTTCAGAGAACAACAACACACTATTATGTGTGTTCAATTAATAGTGTATAAAACAAATGAAATTTGTTCTGAGCTAGGAGTTTTAACCTAGAGATTCAGGGGTGGGCCTGTGGTGGGAACATCCAACCAACTCTTGGAGTAGAATGCAAAATTCAGAATATACATGTGTTTATATATACATTTTTTCCCTCAGGGATGAGAATCTATGATTTTTAAATTAGATATATTTAAAGGTGCTCTTGACCAACCCCTTTTCCCAGAAGATCAGAACTATTTTGTAAGAGAAAAATCCACATACTGAAATTAAGATAAAAATTTAAATTAAAATAAGAATCACTTAGAAATAACATTTCCACCCAGCTGGTATGGCTCAGTAGTTGAGCATTGATCCATGCAACAAGAGGTCACTGGTTTGAGTCCAAGTCAGGGCACATGCCCAGGTTGTGGGCCTGATCCCCAGTGGGGGCATGCAAGAGGCAGCCCATCAATGTTCTCTCTCATCGATGTTTCTATCTCTCCCTCTCCCTTCCTCTCTCTCTAAAATCAATAAAGAAAAATAAATAAATAAATAAATAAATAACATAACATTTTATAACATTAACTATAACATTCCTCCACTGTTTACAGAGTGGAATGGGGCCTGAAGTAATTTATTCAAACATAATCTTTGGTAAAATTTAAAATAACATACCAACAATTTTATTTATTTATTTATTTATTTATTTATTTATTTATTTATTTTCCTCACCTGAGGACATTTTTTTTTCCATTTTTTGTTCAGATAGAGTGGGAGGGAGAGAGTGGAAGAGAGAGAGAGAGAGAGAGAGAGAGAGAGAGAGAGAGAAACATCAACGTGAAAGGGACATATCGAGTGGCTGCCATTTGCATGACCAACCAGGGCCGGGGACAAATTGCAACTGAGGTACGTGCCCTTAGTGGGAACCGAACCCGGATCTCTCTGGACCGCAGGCCGACGCTCTAACCGCTGAGCCTAACCAGCCAGGGCCCAACAATTTTATTAACTGTTAGAAAATGAGACTAATTTTTATTATTTTTAACCCCTCCTCCAAACAAGGGGTTTTAAATTACATACTTCAAAGCAATGATTTTTAATACTTCTTGAATTTTTCTGAAGGGTAGTTGGGGACACTCTCCAGAGAAATGCAAATAAACACACATGTTCATTCATGTAGCATGTCCCCTGATGTGTGGAAGCCACTCCCACAGCAACAACCCTTATTTTACAGAAAACTGGCATTTTAAAGGAACACCACCAAACAGAAATGAGGATCATTACATTTTCTTTTTTTTTTCTTTATTGATTTTCTAGAGAGAAAGGAAGGGAGAGGGAGAGAGAGATAGAAACATAGATGAGTAAGACCATTGATTGACTTCCTCTCTGGGGATCGGGCCCACAGCCTGGGCATGTGCCCTGACTGGGAAATGAAACGGTGACCTCTTGGTGCATGGGTCTATGCTCCACCACTGAGCCACACCGGCCGGGCTCATTAAATTTTCTTAGGTTACATATAAATTAGATTATATGTTACCTAGTATTTTTATTTATTTTTTACTATTTGTTTATTTCCCATTTTTTGTTCAGATACAGTGGGAGAGAGACTAAGAGAGAAACATCAACATGAAAGGGACACATCGAGTGGCTGCCTCCCGCACACCCCAACCAGGGCTGGGGACAAACTGCAACTGAGGTATGTACCCTTAGCAGGAACCGAACCCGGGTCTCTCTGGACCGCAGGCCGATGCTCTAACCACTGAACAAACAGGCCAGGGCTTACCTAGTATTTTTTTTAAAAAAACACTAGAAAAATAAGGCTATCTAAAAGTCACAAAATATTAAAGTAGCTCTTTAAAATTTAAGAACTGTGGACTACAAAAAGATTTTAAGAATACTTACATATATGCAAAGAAAATTTCTGGACTTGCTCTAAGTCAATATAACTTAAAGAGTAAAAGGTAGCCTCCCACATTAAATTTCTCTTAAGAAATGTGAAAAGTCTTTGAAAATAACACATTGATTAGGAAAGGACACTGTTCCCCTGGATACAACATGGCTCACTGGCCACAAAACCTTTCTGAAGACTGTAGTTTATAACAAGACTTCACACTTTCTGAACCTGAGGCTTTCTCAAGAAAACCAAGTTATTTCCTCATTTATAAAATTCAGAACAACCCAGAGATCAGATCTCGGTTATAGACTTTGGGAGCAATGCCCATCTATCCCAGCTCCCTGTGCTTACCAGTCATCAGCTCTGTCCAGGAGGCCACCTACCTTGCATGTCAAAGACCGGGTGCAGGGCTTCTTGGTGTCGAGATCGATAACCCCACAGTGTATGTCAGGATCAAACTCTCTTTCTGCCAAAAGCACAGAGAAATCACAATGGGCTCACCAACACTCACTTCTCTTATTTTGTAAACAAGAAAACAGAAAAAAAATATCAAAACAGACAAATTATAACTTGAATAAAATCAACATTATCCATAAATATAAAATATACACTGTGTGAGCATTACAAGGAGGCAGTGCCGTCAGGCAGAGAGTGAGGACTGCCGCCACAAGGTGGCAGGAAAGAGGGCGTGAAGTCAGCATTACCGCGTTACTCCATTCAGAAAGAAACCGCGTGCGAGCTATTTTACATTACCTACACACATGAACTTTAAACCAACAGTGAAGAGGCCAAGCACACTGCTTAAGGAAATCTCTCTTAAAGCTAAAGTTGATCAGTGTTAAAAAAAAAGGACTTAAAGATGACAGTACATTGCTCCCCTAAGAAAGGCCAATTAAGACAGAGAAACATTGAGAGGAAATGTGAAGTTACCTGATAATCTCTTGTTTAAAAATTTCCTGTTACTGGAATTATCTTCAGATTTCTTTTCCAGAGTGGGCGGCACAGTAAGCCCTTTGCCGTTCAGAATCTGTCCAGGTGAAGGCAAGGTTGGCTTTGGTATTGAGGGGCAGTTAAGGCCAGGCTTGACTGAGGAACTCACAGTAGCAGGACAGGTTGGCCCCACCGCAGATTTCAGTAGTGTGCCATCCATCTTGGGATGAATCTTCTCCACTTTAACAGAGGGCGTCATGCTGTGGTAGGGGAGTGAGAACACCAGTACCTAAGTGCCCAGAGGCCCTCGGTAAATGGTGAGCCAGAGGGACGAGGGAGAGCCCAGATCTGCCAGTGCCCTCCGCACCGCTAGTCTCCCAAAGACACCGTGTGAAAACTGGTTAGGACTACCCGGAAGACTCAGGAAGGCTCACACTTATTCAGTCCATAAGCCCTTCTGGTGAGGCAGAAAGCTCCAGTGGCCACCAAATTCACCTGCTCTTTCATCATCCCAGAACACCCTTACCAGGAGCCTATGGGAGATCTAGGCCTGATGCCCAATGTAATTCCCACAAGAAGCAAAAGAAGAAAAGGTCTAAAAGGACCAAAGAATATCTGCAGGACCTGTACAGAATGTCGCTAAGAACTGCCATTTTTAAGAAAGGACCCATCAAAACAAAGGCAACAAAAAACAATGGAATTAAATAATATTTCCAAGAAATGTTACTAAGGACTTAGCAAGAACTCAAATAAGCCTAACAATGTATCTCCAAGAAGCTCTCTACTTGTGTCAATGAGCAAGACTAATGTTTAATTAGTAAATGATGTGTCACTGAAGTGATAATTCTCCAGTCCCTGAAAAAGCTTTCTAAAATCGGATCTTGAAATATAAGTGCCTGCACCCTGGCCAGTGTTGCTCAGTGGTTAGAGTGTGAAACCTCCACCCTGAAGGGTCGCAGGTTCAATTCCCGGTCAAGGGCACGTACCTGGATTGCAGGTTTGTCCCCAGCCCCAGTGGGGGCGAGTGTGGGAAGCAACCCTTCGATGTGTCTCTCTCACATCGATGTTCTTCTTTCTTCCTCTCTCTCCCTCCTTTCCAGTCTCTCTAAAAATCAATGGAAAAAAAGAGTATCTTTGGGTGAGAATTTAAAAAAAAAGAAATATAAGCACTTGGTACACAGCTGATGAGCACTGAATACCTGTGCCACTAACAAAGAATTGACTTCTCTTGGCATCTTACTGACACAGTCATTTGGGTGGCAAATGTTGCTAAGAAGCTAACAGCTGGCCAGGTCCCCCTCTAAGGCTCAGCTCCAAGCAGAAGAGATCTGGGTTGACGAGGTTTGATAGATTCTGTTCAGTAGAATGAGTGCTCTAACAGCTGTTAGGCTGGCAAGTGACTTACACGCTGCACCGGCATTTTCTCTGGCTCTCAGACAGTTCTGGGAACTAAAGCCAAGCTTGCTGTACTTGCACTTCTGACAGATGAGCAGAAACTGGGGGCTTAGCAACCAGGACAAACAGCCCCAAACAGCTGTACCTGGGACAGCCTGACAGAGCAGAGACACTGCAAGATGCCACGGCTGCTCCCAGCTGGCAAGTCCTTGAGCAGCAGCAGGTGCTGGGCGCTGCCCTGAGATCAACCAGGTTATCAGATCTTGGGACTGACATGTGGCATACCCTCCAAAGGGAGACAGGCCAGGGAAAAGCCACCCTCCACCAAGGCTGAGGGATGCCATGACGAGGCAAGATGTGTGTCTCTGGGAGAGCACGGCTGCTCCCTCATGTGACCACGGGGAGCCTGCCAACCTACAGATCCACCGTGGAAACTTGCCAAAGCCTCGCCTGGCAGGTGTGAACTTCTCCAGTCTTCCCTCATCGCCACAGCACTGGGATGTGATTTCAGGACTCAGGGAGGAAGCACTGCTTCCCTGTTCACGCAGAGGCCCTGGACAATCCCAGAACAGCAGCATCTGGCAATCTCTCTCCCTTTCTATCCCTACTATTACCAAAAGTAGCAGCAGAAGCACCAGCACCCATTAATTTACTCTCTCCTGTGGGCCAGACACTGTGCAGGTGCTTGGGTCTAATAATATTAACGCTACTGCTCCCAATAAACCTGCACAACGGTTGTTACTTTTAGACTCTGAGAAAAACAGTGCCATCTCCAAGGCCCCATAGCTAGGAAGAGACAGAGTTGGGACTTGGGCCCAGCATTTGAATGAGGGCTCCTTGGCTAATGCTCCTCCACCTCACTGCACTTCTTTCTCCTTCTCTGGAAAGAGGGTAACAATACCACCTATAGAGTTGTTGTGATCATTAAATGACAATACACATATAGAACTGAGTTTCAATAGGTGGCACAATAAAGGAGCAATAGTAAGTAGTATTCACCTTACAATTAATGCTATCACTACTCTGTAAAGTTGCCCAGGATATGACAGGGAAACAAACAGAAACAACATGTATCTGAATTTTCCCCAGTGGCTCCCTTCCCCAGGACTTCCATATGCTCTCAGATGACCGGTGTGCACAGCTCCACGTCCTGATATCAAGTAAGCACTCAGGACCTGCTTGGTCACACTCACATTCTAGCATGGGGGACTCTACTTTGCTGAATGGGATGCATTGGCTTGGTGTTCCCCCTGAGCTGCAGTTTCTCTTTGGGCGATTTCAACAGCTTGGAACTCAGTGAGGATGCGCTGAGAACACCTCCGCTGGCAGAGCGGCTGCCCCCACTGGCACTGCCGCCTTTGCTTTTGGACAGAGAAGGGAAGAAGGAGAATACTGATGTGGGAGGGACGGCCAAAGAAGGCTTGTTGGATGAGCTATGTCTTCTTTCTGAAAAGGAAACAAAAGAAAAAAAAGACACTGTGTTTTAGGCAAGTCTCCAATGGAATCTGGAAGAGTCTCCTGAAATACAACGCATTTAGGTTCAAAGACACCTCACTAAGTAAACACACATTAAACTCTGCAGCATTCAGCAATGGCTTATCTAGGCCACGCAGACTTACTGAGGATCCCAGGAACAGATCCTTCTGCTGAGGAAACATCTCAGCATAAAGAGCTTTATCATTTACAGATAGCCGTTAGGAAATTAAACAGCCATTCTAAACCCGAAAATACTGGCTCCAACTTGCAGTCAGAGAGAAGAGAATTATTCATTCATCTGTAGAACTCTGCTAATTAACACCTTATGGAACTCATTCTTCCTCTCTAGCACAGTACCTCTCCAATTTTCAAAATAGCAAAATGTTAAGAAACAAGTTGTACCTTCATTTATTTTTCTGTCACTACCCACTAGCATATGACACCAAATGAGAATGTTTCTGGGGTTAGTTTATCATTCCTTAAGAATCTGTGCTGAAATTTTCCAGTGAATCATTTCACTCCCCTTTTTTTAATCATCTCACTCAACTACAGATGGCATAGCTCCGGCTCACACCACGAAGATGCCAAAGGCGCAAGACAAAAACACCACAGACAGCTGAGCTTGGTGTTGAGACAGGAAGTAATGTGTGCTTAAGTAGAGACTACACAGGTATAACTGGGGGGAAAAAGTCTATCCCCTGGAGAATAAGTCTATCCTTTGAGTTTTCTCAGAGTAAGGCAATCCATATTAAACAAATAGAGAACAGTTGAAGCATGCATGTTATCATCGGAAACAAGTACATTATTTAGCAACTTTTCTACTTAAGTACCTTATGATGGTAGGTTAGTACCTGCCTTCAATTAGACTTGTCACTTAAAATGACACATTTGCTTAACTCCACGTTTTAAAATATAAGTGATCCAATATTTATCACAGTATGAAAGCTCTATGAATATATGAAAAAGTAGGCATATTAGAATCAATGACTGTAAGCATCACTTAAATGGTTTATTTCCAGAGGTCTTTTCTGTGCCCGTGGCGAGCCTCTCTGCACAGCTGTGACGACTTGTTCCCAGAAGGACATTGCTGGGATGAGGCACTTAAGAACGTGCTCTACACCAGGACAAAACTATCACGCTATCCAGACAAAATTCAAATTCTCCAGCTCTACCACACAAAGGCCACAACCAGGATAGGAAGGCTAAACTGATAATGATTTATAAGTGTTGGTGGTTGTTGTTTTCCTTTTCCTGATAAGAAAGCTGTGTGTAAAAGAAAAGAAAAACTAAAATAATGTAAGTTTAATAATTTACCAAATTTGACATTTCAGGTTTTTAAATTTAGTTTCTCTCTTGTCTGTGATAGCAAACACTCTGCATATACTTCCGAGTATCGGCACCTGCCAGCCAGGACTGTTAACACTCTGGCTCTTCGGCTGCCTGCCTCGTGGCGAAGCTTCTCTAAGCCACGTCTCAGTCACCCTCCCCTGTAAGGCATGCACACTGCAGGCCTTCAGTGAACATCTGCATGATCCATACAGCTTTTCTTGTGGAGAGGAGTGATTTTCCTATTTCTTTTTTTAAAGAATAGTTTGTTGATTTTTTTAGGGGGAAAGGTAGAAGGAGAGAGAGGTAGGAAAAGAGAGAGGGAGAAAGAAACATCAATGTGAGAGCATGTCCCCCACTGGGGACCTGGGAGGAGGGGTCAAGCCCACAATCCTGGCATATGCCCTGACTGGGAATCGAACCAGCAACTTTTCGGTACATGGGATGATGCCCAACCAACTAAGCCAGACTGGCCAGGGCAAGAGGAGTAATTTTTCAAATGGTCCTAGACCAGTGGTTCTCAACTTTGGCTACATATTGGCATAACCAAATGAGCTTTAAAAATACTGATGCCTGGCCCTGGCCAGTTTGGCTCAGCGGTTAGAGCATTGGCCTGAGGTCCAGAGAGACCCAGATTTGGTTCCTGCTAAGGGCGCATACCTCAGTTGCAGTTTGTCCCCGGCCCTGCTTGGGTTGTGCGGGTGGCAGCCATTCGATGAGTCCCTTTCACGTTGATGTTTCTCTCTCTCTCCCCCTCCCGCTCTATCTGAACAAAAAATGGAAAAATGTCCTCAGGTAAGGATAAAAAAAAAAAAAATACTGATGCCTGAACCCCACTCAAAGACTGTGACTGAACTGGTTTGGGGTATGGCCTGGGCACCCAGACTCTTACAAGCTCCCTTGCAGCCAAGATTGAGCGCCTGCCTTAGACCAGGCTAATGCCTCAAACACCACCAACCATGACTAAGTTAGTCTCTGCATAGCGCTGAGAATACTGCCTGGCACATGGCACCGTAATCCAGGGTTTGTTAAAGCTCCCTGCTGCTACTTGTCCTCAACTAGTGTTTGCAAACTTCTATCAACTACAAGCTATTTTCATTGTTCTTACCAAAACCACATAAAATACTACTTTGTGCCCAACATTTTAATTTAAATGATCAACTCTACTGTTCCCTACTCCTTCTTAGTCTGATATTTACCAGTCGCATCATTGGTATTTTGGACAGGATAATTCCTCTACAGGTTTCAGGATAGTTAGAATTCCTGGTCTCCCATCCCCTCATCACCAGTAGTGCCTGCTTCTCTGCAAGGGAAAACCTGAAACTACTACCCACCCAATCCATTTTCAGACAGCCCAGCATAAAGCAGCATACTTCACTTGAGAGAGATTTTTCCAAAACTGTAGTATCTATGAAACAAAAGGTTTGGTAAGCTTGCTATACATATATTTTTCTAATACACATTAAAATAATTAGATATTAAAATTAAAATACTCATCCATGTTCATCCATAAAAGTTACCTTTTGTATCCCTGGTGGCAGTGTCTTAAAGGAACACATGTCTGTGGTATGAAGAGGGGAAAACCCAACTAGAACTTGGACTTTAGGAAAGTTCACTCCTTTTACTATCCTCCAGGTATCAGAATTCTCAAGCCAAGTGTCTTAAGTAAATGTGATATATTTTCTCTTGATATCAAAGGATGTAAATAAAATTCTTAATATAATTAAATACAGTCAGTTCTGCTACAATGCTTGTTTTGAGAATGTTGATTCATCTAAAGCCATCAATATACTAAAAATTCAATTTGAGCCTAATAAAATTTTGCACTTGCTTCTGCAAGATTTCATCTTCAAGAAGCACTAGATGAATGCAGAAAACAACAAGCGGCTGAACGGAACCCTGTGGGAACACAGAATGCCCCGCCCCACCGTCCTCCTCAGGCCACAATGGCTGTGAGGAGCCATGCTCGTCTGCATCTGGTGCTGCGACTGTCCACTGCACTCAGAGCAACCCTCCTGACACCTGCTTCTAGAACGAAAGTCAGGTTGTTTTCAAGGCAAATTGTCCTATTTATTCCAGTTTTTATGCATTTTTAATCATTTAATCTATGTAAAACTGTGCTATCATTTTTGTTAGGTTCCTGCCCTTTTCTGTGTGTCACTGAAGAAGCTTTTGAGTGCTGCACCCATAACCCAATCTTCTCAACGAGTCTTGTGGTTTTCAGTGCACAATTCTGCATAGTGGAGTAATTTTTTAGAATGTGTGCTGTGTTATAGCAAAATTGACTATAACTTCAAACCTGTCCTTTCAATTTTCCATTCCTATCATATTCCATTCTCCAATTTTCTTTTTTTGATCCTTACCCAAGAACATTTTTTGCATTTATCTTCAGATAGAGTGGGGCGCGGAGGGAGGAAAAGAAACATCGATGTGAGAGAGACACATCGACTGGTTGCCACCCACAGGACCCCAACCAGAGTGGGGACAAACTACAATTGAGGTATGTGCCCTTAGTGGGAACCAAACTCGGGTCTCTCCGGTCCGCGGGCTGATGCTCTAACCGCTGAGCCAAACTGGCCAGGGCTCTCCAATTTTCTTTAGTTAATGCTTCCTTGCTTGTCTATTAACTCCTGAAATGTAATTATGCAATACAAAATCAAGATTCAAAGCTTCCTAACATTAAAAGTCAGCTGATGCACAAATAACAGTTCCAAAAAACTGTATTTTCTATTTCAACAATAAAAGCTATTTAAAAACTGAGAATGGCAATCTATCATGTGAACTTTCATTCACTTAAAACAAGCCAGTCGCATGTGTGCATGCGTATGTGTGTCAGATTCTGGCTGAAAAGTGCCCGCTCAAGTCCTGGCCATGCTGCTGAAGCAGAGCGCCTTCACATCGCAGTCTGTGCCTTATTCTCTGGAAAGGGTGGCATCTGGCTTTCCCTTCATGAGAAAGCAAAGGAAAAACCAAATTTAATTATAGTTGAGTTGGACTCTCCTCATCCTTTCACTGTGGGCTCTTAGTTTTCATAAGATTTTAAACTGGGCTCCAGGTTAAAAAAGTGTATGTTCCTAGATCAAAAGTGAAATGGGTAAGCTATGGGTAGGGTTAGTGGACAAACTGGTGGCCAGATGCTAAGCATAACTGCAATGTGGTTTGGTGAGGAGTCCAAGTTGAATTTTCAAAGCACTCCTCTCTCCGGGGTCTGGCACGAGCCCAGAGAAAGCACACTCTGTCCCTGAATGAGGATGGCACTATGAATGGCTCCAGCAGGAGAGACACAATCAGGCAGATCATCGGACAGACAAATATAGATACAGAAAAAGACAGAGGAAAGACAGAGAAAGGTGTGTGTGTGTGTGTGTGTGTGTGTGTGTGTGTCAGGGGTAGGAGGACATGGCAAACAGACAATGTGAAGATAAAGGGAGAAAGAGAGAGCAAGATATGGATGCATCGAGTTTTCTTTCCCCTTGAGGCTTGAACATGTGACACTACTGAAGGCAGGGGCAGGATACGGGGTGGGGGGTGGGGAGGCACGACACAGCACAGCTTTCTTTTAGTCTTCCAAAATGGAAAGCAACCAAAAATACTGAGCCTGTAATAATTTTGGAATCATGCTGAGATTTAAATATATATATATA